TATATTTTCTTCTTTGTTCTATGATTTCCAGTATTTCTTGAGTCATCCAAAGTTTTCGAATTTCTGTTTTCTTTTGGAAAGTTTCTTTCTGTGTTTTTATAACAGAATCTCTGATTTTGCTCCACATGATGTTCACATTCTCAGTGTTTTTTATTTCTGATGTTAATTTCTTCATTTTTTGATTGATACAAGTTGAAGCTTCAGCACGGATTTTATTTATCTTGAGCAACTGAGACAAGGAGGTTATGGTCTGAGGTGATATATGTTCCAGGAAAGTCTTAACGCTTACAATGGAATTTATAAATCTTAGATTGGTTAGAATAAAGTCGATCTGATTTCTAATGCAATTTTGTTCATTTTCGGTTGGTGACCCCCAGGTATACAGTCTACGGGGTGGTAATCGAAACCATATGTTCATAATTGCCAGGATTTCTTCTTGAAGAAGAATAGGAAATAATATGAATATAGAAGAAGAATATACAAGAAGAATAGGAAATAATATTGACTATCAAAAGAAGAAAACTTAAGTACTTACAACATGTAATGAAAGGGCAAATATACTCATTATTGCAACTTATTATGCAAGGCAAAATTAGAGAAAAGCAAAATGTGGAAAGACGAAGAATACCGTCTCTTAAGAACTTGAGGAATAATTTGAAGGTAGTAATGCAGAACTATTTAGAGCGGCAGTCAACAAGATCCGCATAGCCATGATGATTTTTAACCTTCGATAGAAGATGGAACTATAAGAAGAAGAAAAAAGTATAAATCCCTATAGATAGAGAATTTAGCATAGGAAATAATAGTAATTTTCCAAGATTGATGCTGTTAGGCTTGGCAGATTCGTACAGAATAGTACGCTTTGCTCATATGTCATAAAAATACGACAATCTTGAAAAATACAATGTAAGTAGGATTGACAAAGTTAAAAATTAACTTAAATTATTTATTATTATTTGTGTTTTATAAACAATAACCATTTGTTTTGAGTTATTTTTGTAAATTCATTGATACTAATTTTGTGGATAGTTTTACAAGAATTGCTAAATAGTCAAATTTAATTTCAGATATTCATGAGCTTCCTATCGAGATTAACCATAAGTTTTATGTAGCTAAAGCGTGACAGCTAATGAAGTATTGTAAAATATGCCTAGAACAAAAAAGTTCATTCAAAACTATATGCATGCAATGCAACTTCTTCTTCAGTTTGTTGCTTTACAGGGTGATTTTAAGCATGCAACAGTATTTCTTATCTCAGCTTATTACTGAAATATTAAACAGTTAAATATATAATGACAGTCCCTTTTATGTCAGAAAACTCATTTTGTTTCAAGCTTTTGAAAAGAAAAGGGAATGAAAGGAAATTAAAACTTTGAACCTTAAAAAACTCAAACAACTCATTGAGACTAAACCTCAGGTGTCTGTGTGTATTAACTTTTAATATAATACTTTTTTGTAAAATTAGTTTGGTTTATTGGTTTGTAGCCCAGCCTGGTTAAAAAAAGGTCGAAAAATGTTTCACAGATATTTGAAGTTTTTAAGACATAGGTGGGGGTTACTAGATGACGAATAGATGAAAAGATGCTCCTATTTTTACCTTGCGTCATTTTTAAAAAATAATTTATGGTCACAATTTGATTTTTTGTCTATGAGTTTTTTCCCTTATATTTTACATAAACAATAGTTATATATTGTTTTATCTTTATTTTCCCGCTTTTTCAATTAAAATTGATAAATAATTTACGGAGATATTTGCAAAAAGCAGTTTTTTTGCACCAATTTATAAATTTTATTAATTTTTTAATTAACAAAATAAAATGTTATTAATACAGTTAAACATCAAGGAATTACCGTCTTTTAAATTTGTGCGAAATTTTCCCCCGATCGGTCAAATAGTTTTAAAGTTATTTAATTTGTTTATCCCTGAGGCTAGTTATTTAAACTGTTGAACTTTGCCCTATGCATGATGCTAGACACCTTTAGCAAATTTCATAGGATTCTTTATACTTAATCTATATACACCTATACACATAGACTTAATCTATATCAGAAGTTAAATGCATATTGTGTTTTCATCGAAATTATTTACAAAATAAACGTTTGAAAAAGGGACATTTCATTATATTGAATGAAATATTTGAAATAACAAATCACACTCAATTTTCTCTTTTTTCTTTTAATTCCTGTAATCTATTAAAATAAACATTATAGTTTTCAGGGACTTTCTGCCCTCGGTAATAATGTAATCTTTTATTCAATGTAATTTTTTAAAAAATACTTATTAGTTTTCTCGAGATTCGAAAAAAAAAAAAATGCATTTAATAAGAATTGGACCAAGATTTTGCGCCTATCCTCTTGACACCTTGACTGCGTCACGTATCCCCAGGGGCATGTGCGTAACTTTTCAAGTGTGCTGTAGCAAAATTGGTCAAAACGCTGCCTCGTGCGGTAGCGATAAAAATGGTATTTGTATATCGTTTTAAGTGTAACAAATAGCCATCGATAACAAATTTTTAATTCTTGCTACTGATAACTGTAATATGAGACATGCCCCCAGAGACACGTGCCGCCATAAACAAAATTTATTATTACCATGCGTCACAGAACCCGAGAGGCATGTGTCATTCTTTTCAACTTGTCGGTGCCTGTCGCTGTATTATATATATTCAGTTTATTAGAGTTCATTAAAGTGTGAGCAGTACTTGTGAAAATGTCGAAAAGTTGATAGAAGTTGCAAATGAGCAAACAATTAGTGATTGTAAAAACTTTGGAGAGAGTTCTGAAACGAATACTATGTTAAATGAATTAAATGATAATACAGGGTTCATTGAAAGTTATGAAAATTCTAATAATGAAAATGAACAAGAGTTAATACAGACAGAAATAGTAGAACACGAAATGGAGAATGAGCAGGGTGATGAACACGATATGGAGACCGAGCAGATAGCAACTCAATTTTCATCTGATACTGACAGTATCGAAGATCCCTATGACAGTGACGATTCATTACTAGATAAAAGTTATTTACCTAAATCTTCATCATCCTCCGATCGTCTATTGATAGTGATGGCGAAATTATTGCGATTTAGAAGAAGATGTAGATGTTGACGATTTTATAGTAAGAAAGAATACATTAGTTGATATTAAACCACGTGCAGTACAGAAACCAATAGATGTTTTTAATCATTTTATAACAGATGAAATATTGGATATCATCGTTAATGAAACCAACAATTATGTTGTTCAACAATTAAGTATGCAACACTCAAGAAAATCCAGATTAAATTCATGGACAGCCACGAACAAAACTGAAATAAAAGCCTTCCTAGAGGTAATAATCGCAATGAGTCTCACTCAGGTACCACATATAAATTTATATTTGTCCAAAGATGATATTTTTTATAATAAATTTATTGCAAAAGTTTTAACTCGAGACCGCTTTTTGCTTTTATTGAAACTTCTTCATTTTGAAAATAATGAGACATCTGATACAACTAATAGATTATACAAAATAGAAAATTTAGTTACAAAGCTGATTCAAAATTTTCAAAGAATAATGGAGCCTGGCAACATTCTCATTATAGATGAATCTATGGTACCTTTTAGAGGGAGACTCCATTTTTGTCAGTACATCCCTAACAAGACTCATAAATATGGAGTGAAATTGTACAAACTCTGTTCACCTGAAGGCTTTACTTTCAATATAAATATTTACACAGGGAAAAATGAACAACAACCAGTTAATGTGGCACACTCTGAAGCAGTTGTTCTAAAATTACTTCAGTGTATCACAAATAAAGCTGGCAAAATATTATTCGCTGATAATTTTTATTCAGGAATTCCTCTTGTTAAAAGATTGTTAGCAGAAAATATAATGTACTGTGGAACTCTGAGAGGAAACAAAAGGAATACCAAATATTTTTAACCAGTCCAAAACGATGAAGCGAAGAGAAGTTATTGAAAAAAAGAAAGATGGACTAAGAATTATTAAGTGGATGTAAAAGAGACCTGTGTTAATAATTTCAAGTGTACCAGCCCATAGTAAGAAGTTGATTCCAACAGGAAACCAGAATAGGCAAAAAGAGGAAATTGTGAAACCGAAATGTATAATTGATTACAACTCTGCAAAGAAAGGCGTAGACTATTCGGATCACGTCGAAGCTTGAAATGGTACGGTAAGAAATAAAATAGGTTTTAATTTTAATATCTCTTTGTTTTAATATTCATTATTTTAGAAAAGTAGTATTTGAGATGATACTTGGAACAGCTATTGTTAATAGCTTAATTATATTCAATATGTGCTCTAAAACAAAAATGAGCATTACAGAATTTGGACGTCAGTTGGCATATAATTTAGTACAATCACTTGAAGAAAAACCACTTCTAAAAAAAAGAGTGCATACTTTTACCAAACCTGAAGGACCTAGAAGAAAACGGCGAAAGCCATGTAGAATTTGTCGTCAAGTATTAAAATCTTCAGATTTAAGTTACCGTGAAGTAGATAAAAAAGTTCGTAGGATTATAACTTTTTGTTCCGATTGCCCTGGTCAACCTGGCTACTGTTTGTCTTGTTTTAACAAGGCACATAAATAAATAGAAGAAGCAGAAACTACCAGTTAATTTTAAAATGCGTTTATTCTTTTTATTTTAATATAAAATATTTGGTTTTTACAAACATCTTTTTATCCAATTGCCTTCAAGAGAACATTTATTTTGCTGTCTGTGCTACGCGAGACGTTGGCGGCATGTCCTGTTTAAGAGGAAAGTAGATTAATACTTCTATAATAGTTTCATGTATAAAGTATATGCAAAAGTTATACTTCTGTGTACTAGAAGGCATGAAGGACCTATATGCACGCACATGTCACATGCGGCATGTGACGCATGGACAGAATAAACCATAACGTATCTCGGGGGGCATGTGAAGCAAGAACTAGTATATTAAGTATTTAACCACAGCAGTCAAGGTGTAAAAGATAGTTTCACCTGATTGTAGAAGCTCACCGGCGGATATGAAGGTGTCCTGGTTCGAAATTCTTAATACAAATAGCTTGAGCAGATATAGCATCAGAATTTACAATATACACAAGGATATTATAAAAAACTTCAATTTTTATTTTGACTTGAGCAGTTATTAACCCAAAGGACAAAATATTCGATATACCTGTACGTAAAAAAAAAGATTATATGAGCTAATTATTTCTTCTTGTCCCCGTTCAGTAATACCGTCATACCAGAGGCATGCAAAAGTTGTTTGTTTTTTTCTTTACCCAGGGGTGCAAAACTTTCATTCTTCTTCTTCTTTGTGCGACTAGGATTACTCCTGTTTGTCTGCCTCTTATTCTGTTTCAGTAGTTGTTGACTATACATTATCTTTCCACCTTTTTGGCGGCCTTCTAACTAGCCTTCTACTATAAAGTTTGTTGTTTTTACAGATGTTCACTAATCTATCTGATCCCATTCGGTTTACATGTTCATTCCAGTTTTTTTCTTGTTTTTATCCACCTGTTAATATTTTGAATTTTGCATTGTTCACGTATGCTTCTGTTGGTTTGTCTGTCTCTTAATAATATGCCCGCTATTGATCTTAATACTTTCATTTCGATATTGTTGATCTGTTGTTTCGTCTTTCTTGTATCGGTCCTTGTCTCCGCTGCATATGTTAGTATTGATCTTACTGTTGTCTTGTATACTTTTATTTTGATTTCCGTGGTCAGATATTTGTTTCTCCATATGGTTTCTCGGAGGCAACCACTTACTCTTGCCTCTTTTGATGCTTGCCTTGTGGTCTCTGTTCTTATATCCCTGTCACTAGTAATCTCTACTCCTAGGTAATTGAATTCCTTCTTACTTCGTGAATTATTTGATTCATTACCATATTAAATCACAATGGACTGAAAGAGTCTCCTTGGCGGATTCCTCCTTTTAGTTCTATGAATTCTGTTTTACCTGTTGGCATTATAACTCTGGTCTTGTTGTTCTTGTTAATTTCATTAATTGTCCTTATTATCTGATGGTCTATTTGCTCAGCTTGTAATAAATTTAAGATGTCATTTCGCTTCACCCTGTCAAAAGCACTTTTTAAATCTACAAAGTACATGTATGGTGGTTTTCATATTCAATAGACTTCTCTATTATTTGTCTGATAATAAAAATTGCGTCTGTTGTGCTGCAGTTCTTCCGGAAGAACTTTTCCTCGATTTTATCTTTTATGACTGCCGTTAACAATTTTAATGTACTATTCATCAGACTAATACCTCTATAGGTTTCAGGATTTCTTGAGTGTTCCTTTTTAAGTATCTTTAGCAGGAGACTTTTCTTTCATTCCGCTGGTACTACTGTATTTATTATATCGACGAATAGTTTTAGGAGCCATTTGGGTAGTGTTGTTCCTCCATATTTTAGCAGTTCATTGTTTATCTTATCAGGACCAGGTGCTTTTCTGTTTTTTTAATTTTTTTATTCGTTTTTGTAGCTCTTCTTCTGATATTAGTACTCTATCGTGGGTTTCGTTAATGATTATTTCTCTTTTCTCTTTCTCTCCTTCTCCATATAATTTCATGAAATGCTAAGTCCATTGTTTTTCCGTAATGTTATCAATGCGTACAAATTCATTCATTTCTGTTTTTTGTCTTCTTATCATCTTCCACTCCTTTTTCTGGGATGCATAGAGGTCGTATTCCATACCTTTAGTAAATTTCTCACTGTGTTATTTTTTAATGTTATCTATTTCTTGGTTTACTCTTCACTACGTCTTCACTCCTTTGTATGTTAGGAAAGCTTGTTTCTTTTCATTTGCTAGTGCTTTCACCCTTTCGTCGTACCATGGAGTTTTGTATTCCCGCTTATTTCTGTTAATTTTTCTTTTACCTAAGGCTTTTTCCGCTGCTTGTAGGATACATTTTGTAATAATTTTCCAGGTTTCTTCTATATTCTTTTTAGTCTCTAGGGCATGGCAATTTAGCTTTTCTGTTAGTCTGTTTTTATACAAGTTTTGTGTCCCTCCTTCTAAGCTTTCTTTGTTTAACTTTTTTTTACTTACTTACTGTATTTCGCTTTACGTGGTGATTGCTATATTTATTTTTCCTAGTACCAGGTCATGGTCGGATCCTACATTGGTATTCTTGAGGTTTATTTGTCTGTTTGTTATAATGTAGTCAATCATAGAGTTACGTCCTCTTGTATCTGACCAGGTGATCTTATGTTGTATTGGGCGGTCAAAGTATGTGTTGTTAATTCGGTTATTCATTAAACAAAGTTCTAGAAGTCTTTATCCGTTGTCGTTGAGCGTTACTTCGTTAAATTTTTGTGTAACTCCTGCCACAGATATGTTGCCTACTCTGGCGTTTAGGTCCCCGAGAATTATTATTTTACTACCGGCTATTGTGGTGTTCAGTAGATCTTGGAGATGTCCATGAAATGCATCTTTGTCTTCCTTTCATTGAATGTCGATATTTTTTGGGAAAATATTGCTTTCTTAAACATATTGACATAGTAACACATAGTAACATTATGACTTTTTGTAAATCAACATAGACTTAAGGGTCGTTGATGTATCTGGTTCATTTTTAACCAAGCGGTAATATTCTCTTGAATCTCTAGCACGTTGAATGTGTTCTTTTCAGCTATATGCGTATCCAAGTATACAGAAGATATTTTGCTTTTACAAGCAGCCTTCACACGTTCATCTTTTTTTAGAGCAGATAGGAGTAGACGATTGAAACACATTTTGTATGAAAAATGCTTTCTCTAATCGCGCCAATTAAGTATCAAAAACAACGCGAATGTATTGCTTAGAATAAACACAGTAACTGCAGGCTCCGTCCAGTATATGCGGGGTTTTAACAAGTAATGTTGTAGTTGCGGGGTTCTTCCATAGTTCCATGTAAGTTTTCGTACATGCTAGGTTTAGTATTTCTTTTAGAATCTATATTTGTGATTCTCGCGCACACAGACCACTCGCTAAATGTGTATAAATATGTGTCAAATATTGTCAATATTGAAGACTAAGTTTAAAAAAGGGGTGCATCACTGGACTCTTACATGCATGGCATACTTAAATTGTCAGTCCTATTACTTATTGTGTATTATCTACCTAAATATTTAATTTAACATTGTATATATTTATTGTAATAACAGTGGGGTAAATAAAATAAAGAGCAGAACATGTAGAAATGGGAGGACATTTTACAGTAAAACAATAAAACCTATTTACGTATAGACGATATATAGAAATATTACATTGCTTGCAATAGAAAGATCCGTATTGTGTTACAACTGATAATTATTTTTTATTTATGGACTATGAGTGTTCCAATAAATTTTATTAAAACTTTCTAAACTACATACACTTCAGAAATGTACGGTGCTTCTGTATAACTTTACTTTATATTATATGTGTATATTTGGATTTTGAATAATTTTGGAAATACTCTACAATAAAAATCCACTAGGAAACTAAGTTCCTGTAGCTGGCTGTATACCATATATCACAAAAAAATTATTTCAAATCCTTTATAAAAGGTATATAATAAAATGCCCTAACGGGCTATCACAATTATATTACAAAACGTTTTCGGATTGTTAAATCAGTGTAAACGAGGTATACATGCTATGAGCCACCAAAATATATGGCTCAAAACCCTTTAAATGATATGGTGACCTATGTACCTATGTAGGGTCATACGTCGCCATGTTACCAATTTTAACGATAACTTAAACATCATAATTTGTAACCATATACAATGAAAAATAACTGTAAATTTATATCATTTAAAGGGTTTTGACCCATATATTTTGGTGGCTCATAGCATGTATACCTCGCTTACACTGATGATGGATTTAACAATCCGAAAACGTTTTGTAATATAATTGTGATAGCCCATTTGGGCATTTTATTATATAACTCTACAATAGTGATTGGAACTACTTACAGTGGTGTCTGTAAATGTGTTATGCAATGAGCGGCTGTCAGGATATATCTATTATTAATGATAGTTCCACCACACCTAAACTCTGCATGTTCGCCTGTAAAAAAATTAATAATTAATATATTAATAATGTGTAATAAATTTTAATGCTAATACTCAAATATCAGTATTTTGTGAATATTTTATTATGTTAATTATTTCATCACGAATAATAAAACAATATACTAAATATCTAATACAGTAAAATATCAGAGTAGCAACTTAATTTAAAATAAGAAATGTTTGTTACTAACGTAACTTTGTAGACATAACAATTATATTATGTGACAGAATATACAGTACTGTAGTAAATTCGCTAATCTCAGTCTCAACTGTCTAGTGAATTTAGTAATTATATTTTTATGAGAAATAATTTACTCCTAGTTTAAAGAAAAAAAATACATTTTTATTTTTATTTCACATAGACAGTTAAAACAAAAATAGCTAATTTTATCAACAAACCTTAGATTGAATATTTTAACAACATAAACAAAATTTAAATCTATGTTTATGTACCAAATGGAAAAAAGATGCACTAACTGCCATATGTCGAAATTAATTTCCAAACTTTTCTGAATTATTAATTAGTTATTTGAAATGAGGTTGAATGCTCGAATAAATGAACTTTGAAAAATAAGGCTATTATCGAGCACAAGTTAATTAAATCTAGCCCAAGTATCTTCAGGGGCATTTCGTCAAATATAAACTATCCGGCAAGCGTAAAATGTGGAAACATTAATAATGACATAAAATTGTACAAAACACTACACTAAAACGAGGACAAACAAACAAACAAACAACAAACGAGGACAAACGAAGACAACTGTTTGTCAACCTCAGTTAAATAATTTCTATATTAACAAATTTATCTTACCTACTCTATATCTTAGTAAAGCCATCCAAGGGAATTCATTTAAATCAGCATTTTGACCATTTCTAATCTTATTTTGTAGGTCTAGTTGACCACAGTTAGGGGGTATCAAAAATAGGTTTCTATGATTCGATACATCTGGTGGTGGTTCTGGCGTCGAACCATCTTTGATTATTATAGGCCCTTGTGGACAGCAAACATGGGCTATGTTGTCGGCAAAGCTGGAAAAGAGTATCATATAAACACAAAAAATGAATTAAGTATAAAATTTGTTCGTAAAATAAGTATTATAAGTCTTGTGTAGTCTTTATCTCGTTCTTCTAGTTGTTTACGTAACTGTTTTACTGATAGTCCTGCAATCCGCATGTTTTATTCAACAACACTTTTCAAAAGTTCCAAAGTCTTTTTCAAAAGTCACTGCCAAATTTCTTTTAAATAAATAAATTACGTCACACCGTAACATCACTGTAGCATTTTAGCAATAAAACGAGCAGTTCTAATTTATATAAATATATTTAAGTGACGGATTCGACCGTTACTTAATAGAAATTCATTTTATATAACAATAAAACACTAAAAACTTTGTTTTCAAAACTTCCACAAAACTTATTATAACATTTTATCTCTACAGCTGTTTCGGCAGAGTGCTTTTCACAAGTGGTCTATTTTTGGATGTGTTTACAATTTTTAGTCTTCAACGAAATAGGTTGAGGAAGGGAGAACTGTTTGTCTCAAGTTGGTCATTCAGAAACATATATGTATTTTTTAAATTGTTAGTCATTTATGATTTTCGGAATAGCTTCTTTAGAGCTGTGCTCTATGCTCTAGTCAGGTAACTCTGATATTGATTAGAGTTATTTTGTCATCAATCTTGGTAAGCTTTTCCAATATCATTTTTAATGTAATTTCAGTTTCTTTTTCTTGTTGCGATGGTGCATGTCTCCTTGCATTCTTTGTTACATCGCTTTAACTTCTATTTTCATTGACCTCTACCGGTTTTAGTTTTTTGCTTTCAATAACTCTATAGTGCACTTTTATAGCATTGTCTTTGTTTGTTCTTATTGTTTGTAATTTTTAAGCTACATAACATCCGCAATAGTTTGCAGGATGGCTTTCTCCACAATGAACACATTTTGGTTTATCTTTCGGTGATTTTGGTCAATCTTTAGTAAGGTGTTTAAAAATACATTTTACACATCTTGGCTATTTTTTACAGTATTTCCACGTATGTCCGTAATCCTGGCATCTTTTACATTGCGGCACTACTCTGGAACTCTTTAATGGCTTGATTTCAACTTCCGTGCTAAGTATTTCTGTTATGCCCTCTTAAATTCTTTTTATATTTTCATGCTGTCTAAATGTTAGGACATATCTAGTTGTTTTTTAGTTTTCCATTTGAATCATGAATCTGTTGCTTGTGTGAGTCCATTTCAAATAGGTAAAAGAAATAATAAATAAGACTTAGTCACAATCAATTTAATTTAAGTATCCAGACGACCGGTTTCGCTTTCTACAATATGCAAAGCATCTTCAGGTCTCGATACAAAGTTAAAATAAATGCTGAAATAATAAACCCATATTAGGGTGTTGTCTAATAAAGATAAACAAAGATAGATGATATAAATTACAGGAATTATGCCAATATTACATGTCTGTGGTTTTTCAAATTGGTATAAAATAGTCTATTAATTTGTAATAAATTAGTAAATGAACAAATAAATAAAACATTACTTACATGCCGGTAATCTATTAATTTTGATGGTTGCAAGAATATGGTTCAATTTATACTGTATTGTTGAATGGAGTCAAGACACTACCTAATTGTGATTTTAAACGAAATTCATTATTCAGTCACAATAATCTGACTGAAGAAAGGTAGTTTTTTATACCCAACAAAAAGAAGAAGTAATTAAGACAGGTGCCGTATTTATTAGTGACAGTCGATATGACACATGACTTAATTAACAATTGTCTTGTCAAAAATAATACCGGCCACATGGTGATTAAAATATAACAAATTTAATAATTATTTAATTTAAGCTTTGTTTGCCGTCTTCCTCTAAGTAGGAGATGCGTTTTGGTTTGTATTTGGAAAACAATGTGTAGTTCCACATCTGCAATAATTTACACTAAGAAATAGTGTCAACGTTAAGGTAATATTAAAAATAACATCTTTAATTACGATGATTGTAAAGAATGTTTTTCTATTACAGCAAGTTCTGATGAAGCCCAAAATTATGTGGCGAAAGCTTGACTACTAATAAAAGACACTCACTTTGAAGCACCTGTTTTTTATTGCTTCCTTAGTATTGGGTCGTTCCCGGTTACCTTCAACTGTCTGTTGTTTACCAGTAACCCGTTACTGTCCTTGATATATATATATATATATATATATATATATATATATATATATATATATATATATATATATATCTTTGTTTATCTTTATTAGACAACACCTGAAGATGCTTTGTATATTGTACAAAGCGAAACTGGTCGTCTGAATAGTTAAATTGATTGTGAGTAAGTCTTATTTATTATTTTTTTACCTATTTTCCATTTGAATTTCTTGTCAGCTTCAATGTCTGTACTATTTTCTCTGGTGGCCAAGTGTGACACAATTTCTTAACAACAACTCTTATTGGCAATTATATGGATTTAAATATGTATTTATCATCTATTGATTAGGTAAAATGTCTAGGTAATATTAGCATAAATGATGCAGTTTGGTTGTTCTATGAGCTTCTATGTACTAGTATTGCTTATTTTATATCTTAAACAAATATAACCCTTCTACTTTTCCTATTAACAATTATCTAAAACGTTGTCAGTTGGATTAAGAATGTAACGTACCTCCAGATATCTGTTTTTTAAGTCTAATATTCCACAAAATAATAATTTTAATTAAATAGATTAGACAATTGTACGCAACTGATGGAAATACTTGAAATTTTAATAATAGTTCAGTGTCTGGCAAAATTGTTTAAAGTGTTGCCGCTTTTTTAGAGTAAGAATTTTGTTTATGTTTTGATTTCTTACACAATGTGATCATAATATATTATATATTAATAAATTGTATTTATAAAAATACATATTAAATTTAGATTAATATCTTTAAAAACTAATTATTGTTGTGTATTATGATTGTCCTATGACAAAACAACTAAATAGTCGGTAGTAAGCTGATAAGCTTTCATATAAGATAAATTATTTTAAACAAGAAATAATGGCGGGACGAGTATTTTAGTGTGTTGCAGTAGTCTCAAAGCTAAGTGTTTTACTGATAATATAGTAGTTTGACAAATAGTTGGAATTTTAAAAATTCCTCACTTACTATTCTGATCTTTGCCAACGCTGTGGGGTTCTGACGTCGAAAATCTTGAATGACGTGCAATCATTTTTATATGAAAAATTCTATAGTTAATTATTATATTAATTATGTCAAGTATCATAACTATGTAAAATAATCAAATAAAATATATCAGATGAAATATTTAAATATATCACAATATCGATAAATGTATATAAATAAAATACTGAAACATGAGAACTAGACAAATGTCCTCTCTATTCAATGTATTAACTGTAAAAATAAAACAAAACATTCTGATTAAACATGTTTAATATGACCGACTGTACTAACATTATTAATTAAAATTAAATATGTAACCAAAAAACATGATATTAATATCATCATACAGCCTTCTGCGTCTAAAGTTGGACATAGGCATCCCCTAATTTCTTACAGTTCTGTCGGTCTTGAGGTTTCTGCGGCCAACTCCCAGTGATTCTTTTGACGTCGTCTGTTCATCGTGTAGGCGGTCTACATCTGCTTCTTCTGTCAGCTTGTAACCTCCAAACTATAATTTTTTGCGTCCACCGCCTGTCATTCATTCTGGCCATATGGCCCGCCCAGCTCCACTTCAGCATTGCTATACACTTTATGACATCTGTGACGCCTGTTTGTCTTCTTATTTCTTTATATCTAACTTTTTCTCGGAGAGTCAGTTCAAGTAGCGAGCGTTCCATTCGTCTTTGGGCTACTGTTAGTTTGGTTGCTACAGCCTGGGTTATAGAAAGTATTTCAGTGCCGTAAGTCATAACTGGAAGCACACATTGGTCGAACGTCTTATTTTTTAAATAATTTGGTATGTTGCTCTTGAAGATGTTTGATAGAGCTCCATATGCGGCTCATGCTATAGTGATTCTTCTTTGCAGTCCAGCAGTTTGATTGTCCCTAGAAATTTAGATTTCATGACGCAGTATTTATATTTATGAACTTTCTAAGATTTATGTTCAAACCAACTTCTTTACAGCATCTCACTTAGTAAGCATAGCTTCAATATCTTTTAAGTCATCCGTTATCAGAACAATGTCATCCGCAAATCGTAGGTGTAGAGCATTTCGCCGTCGACATTAATTCTTTTGACTTCCCACTCCAATTTTTTAAAAGCATATTTGAGAACTGCCATAAAGAGTTTGGGAGGTAACGTGTCCCGCTTTCTGATTCCTCGAATAATTTTTATACAATTTGTATCTGTGTATAGTCTTCCGGTCATGGTTCCATTATTGTATATATTCGCGACCAGTTTGGAGTACCGATAATCTATGCGACTGTCTTCGATGCTTCTTGCATCGAATGCTTTGCGAAAGTCTACAAAAGCTGGGACCAATGGTCCTATTTGATGGATTTTTCTATAATCCCTTTTATACAGTGGATGTGATTGTTGGTGCCAAAGTTTTACCTAAAACTTTCCTGTTCCCTAGGTTGGTAAAAATTTGGTTTCCAGTCTATTTGTTATTATTATTGTGCATAACTTGTAGAGGTGGTTTAACAGGCTTCTGGGTCGGTAATTCTCGAGGTCTGCTGGATCGCCCTTTTTGTGTAATAAAATGGTAGGTGCACTATATCATCTTGTAGGTATTACTTTTTGGTGCAGACATAAGTTAAACAATTTCTTTATTTTCTCTAAAAGTCCGTCCCCTGCAATCTTTACGACTTCTATAACAATATTATATTTTTCTAGAACCCTATTTATTTTCATTTTGTTAGTGCATTCCTAATTTCGTCTGTTGATATATCAGGCATCAATTCCAATCCTTGGTTGTATCTATATCCAGTCTCTCGTTCTATTTGTAACTTAAGACAGAACTGCGCTTCATCATTATACAACCTTCTGCGTCCAAAGTTAGACATATGCCTCCCCTAATTTCTTCCTTT